TTAGATTTTTCTTAAATTAGATTTATACATTCTTACTGTACTATTTTTCTTACAGTTGTCAATAATATTTTTCTTACAGTTGTCAATAATATATTTTTAGCGGATTAGGGTTTTCCGCCAATTCGAGATTTTGGTGGCCAATTTTTCATCGATTTAGTCAACTCTTTATTGTAGTCCATATATGATTAAATACTTAATCCATGATAATTCTATGATTTTTTTTTTGTGATGTAAATTTAATGGTCAACATAAGTTCATACACGGAAAGAACGTCTCAATATTCATAAATTGATAAAAACAATGAAAGTTAATAATATATTACCCTCATTTCTTATTGGATTCCTAAAAAATAACATTTATAATGAATTTTAATAATTTTTGTGAATTTTTTTAAGGCTTAATCCGAGCGATTCGGCCCAATTCCGGATTCGGATCTCCGATTCACCAATCTGGATTGGTTTTTGGGATGCCCGATCCTGGTCACCGATCCGTTTTTTAAACCACTGCCTTAAAATATAGAATGAAGGTGCATCTCTAAAATCCTTCGAGAAAGGCGGCTTTGATATTGGAAAAATATTAAATTGATCACCTCATAGAGCTGTATAGACATGGAGAAAAAAATAGATTTTAACTCTCAAACATAATACATCTTGTAACACATTATCTTGGTACTCTATTTTCAAGATTTTCAAGTGTTTATTAATCTATTTGATTTGAACTATTTTTGGAGTTTAAAATTTTATACTTAGAAAAAACAATAGATTCTCGCACCATTCTGTCAAGGTGATTTTAAGTCGACATGTGCAATCGACACAAAACACAACAATCACTATATTAGGGTATATCCATAAACAAAGCTTTATTTTATTTCTAAGTATCAAACAATTCCAAGGTGTCTATGGAGGGCTTGTTAATTATCTGTATTGTCTCTTACAACAGAGATGTGAAATACCTTTGTTTAATCAATCGCAAATGAATCCACCAAGAGGAGGAACATGAGAGAAAGAACTAGCAAGTAAGTCATGCTGCTCTTCTTGGTTGTATGAATTTGGTCAAATAATTATACAACATTATAAATACATAAACATCTTTCGTTTTCTTCTTCATCCTCTTGCATTTATTTCTTTTTCTATTGTTGTTCCTCATGTTGTATCTTGTTTTGATAAGACTATTTATAGTCGTCAAACAATTCGATTGGTAGTTTTCGATTATGTCTAGTACTTGTGATGCGGTGCATGCAATGGTCCTCGTGTCTTGCTATAATGATAACACATGTCTTGCATGATTGTTGTATTTCTATAATATTCATCTCGTCTAAGATGTGTTATGTCATTACTTTATTTGGCACATCATTCTAAAAGAATGTAATATTCGTCATATGCGACTTGTAAGAGAGGGTTTTATATTTCTATTATATCCTTCTGACAAGTTCTGATTTTGTTGCCATCTGGAATGTATTTACAAATATTTGAACGTCACATTTTATATGATAAAGTGTGTAATGAGGAGCATATTTGTCATTGAACCTCACGTTTTATATGGGGCATGCTTATGTAATAGAGCATTAATAGTGTATGAAGTAGATTCAGTGGAGAGTCTCTCAAGTGTTTTAAAATTCACCAGATAGTCTCGTAATGGGCAAATCAATGTCACTATGTAAATAGAATCAAGATCCAAACTAAGCAAGTTATAACTATACGTGTACCTCTCGTACTTTAAATCATAGCAAAGCACTAAAGTGTAATTTTGTGTGAGCTTAATACTTTGATAAAGTATATAATGAGACCATTTGTCTTTACTACAAGGTGGTCACAATTAATCTTGACAGTTGGATACGAAATTAGGTGGTTGCATTTATTTCATTGACCAAACTCAAAGTTTTTAAAAAAAAAATCTCGAACTTTGCGACACACGCATGCTTTCACATTTGATGGTTGTAAGTAATTATGACCTCCCTATACGAAAGATAAATGAATTCATTGTATACAATCCCTAATACTTTAGTCCAAATATGATTTCTATTATAAGAAATTTGAATAAGGCTTCTCAAGGATGTATCATGACAAAGTGAGGATTAGGTTAAATTTATACCTAAATATATCCTAAGAATTTTCGATACCAAAATTATATCTCATGACAAAGTTTGGAGGTGCACCTTACTTTGATTGTTTGAGGTTGCAATATCATGCAAAGCACACCCTTTTGAAAAATATATTTCCTAAAGAAACATATTTTTATTGTTTGGATAGCATATGGATGCAACCAGGGAGATATATTTTTACTATTTTGATTTCAAAAAAGCATTTTTTAGATGAATTCCTAGCTTTAGTTTTGCCTGCATAATCCCCAAACTTATTTATTAGGATAAATTTCCATATCATAACATTCCAATTTTTTTTTCTATTTTTTTTTTTTATTAAAGAATGATTATTTTTTGCTAAACACCTTTTAGGTACAATTCACAAATGCTACCTCCCATACATTTGATCTAAACGAATGGGAGATGGCCTCAACCACAATGTCATGCCTAAACACTTTTATTTTTTCTATAAACCGTTTTGATTCATAATTTGGGATGTCTCATCCTTTCATATGGTTGCACCTATCAATAATATATAACAAAGCATTCGTGACAAAATCTAATGATTGAAATACCCTTGAAAGTTACAGGGATAGTTTGGTCATGTATTTTTGGATTTTTTTTTTTTTGTTGCAATGCTATATTGAGATGATAGCATGCATCAAATATGATATTCATATTATTTGTACAAAATAAATAAAAAAAAATACTATGAGACGTTATATCTTGGCCAAACAGTCAAAGGCGTAATTGTAACATTATGGCTAAAGCTATCACAACCATCCATTCAGATCAGACGGTTGCGAGACTGATATTTATGAATTCCCTCTACCTAATGGCATATAGTAAGATTGAATGAGAGTTATCCAATTTTTAATAGTCAAAACTAGTTGTTTAAGAATTTAAAATCTTTAAAATTAATCAAGTAAATCTTATACGATCAATAAAGGAAACCAATTTTGATATGTAGCAAAAGCTCATATTTTCACTAACATCTTCGAACCCTTAGAAACGCATTGCTATGCTCTAACACCAATTGACACGAACCTTTATATTTTTTTCATGAAAAATATTAAGCACATATATAATGAAGCCGATGATTACAAAATTGTGCACAACGTATTGTTTATACTCGAAATTATGGGTAGGGACTTCACCCCTGCCTTGGTTTTTCAAATGTTAACAAATTATGCTCTTAAAAAGAATCAGGTCCTAAGACCTTAGCTGTCTCGGATCACCAATATAGCCGGCTTCCCTCATATCTTAACTTTGAAACTCAACAAATAAAGCTTTCAAAAGGGATCTGAGATAAAAAGAAAATTTTAGAAAAATAGATTTAGAAAGAGAACGAGGGGAAGAGAACCACAAATAAACAACTAAACCATGTAGACGTAA